ACTTCTAAATTACTTCAGTTGGCCTTTTTTTTAAAGGGGGGGGGGATATAGTCCTGTATCTCTTATGAAAGTTTAAAAAAATTTGTTGTATTCTGAGTTATCAGGTTAAAAAGGGGTAGGGCATGGCCACCTTACTTTTTATTGCTTTCTTCATCTTATTTCTACTTCCAGAGGAGTTTGGCACTGATTCTTGAGAAATGGGGAGGCTTCTGCAGTATTTTTTTATATTGCATATCTGCTCAGGCATCTGTCAATCACTCATCTATTTCCCCAGTTCCAAATTTAAAGGAGAGCACTCTTAGGGTTTAGATATGAGGTGTCTCTCAAAAGCTCATGTATGAGGCAATGCAAGAATGGTTCAGAGGTGAAATGATTAGATTATGAGAGCCCTAACCTAACTGGTGGATTAATCCTCTGGTATGGATGAACTGGGTGACAATTGTAGACAGGTATGGTGTACCTGGAGAAGTAGTTCACTGGGGGCATGCCCTTAGGGTTTATATTTTATCCTTGGTGAGTAGAGCTCTATCTCTGTTTCCTAGCTGCCTTGTCCTGAGTTGCTTTCCTCCATCAATGCCCTTCCTTCATGATTTTTCTGCCTTATCTAGGACCCATAGCAAGTAGGTTCACTGTGGACTGAACCTCTGAAAATGTGAGCTGAAGTAGACTTTACCTCCTGTAAGTTGTTCATGCCAGGTCTTTTGGTCACAGTGATGCAAAGCGGATTAAAACAAGCACCTGAAAAAATCCATTCACTGTTGTGTTAATAAAAGTGAGATTAGTTCCATGTATTCAATCTATCTATACTTAAAAGTTATAGTATAGGCATTCTACAGACTCACAAGTCAAATAGCAGAGGCTATCATTCTTCATTCTACAAATAAAAGAACAACCATTGAAAAAAGGACCAACTAGTACTTCTAGAAAAGAAAAAAATGTAGTGGAAAGTCAAAGACTGAATTAACAAGACATTAAGTATAGCTAAAGAGGAGTTACATTAATTGGACAATAAATCTTAGAAAACTATCCAAAACACAGAATACTTAGACAAAGAGCTCCTGAAGGAGAGGTAAGAGAAAATGGTAGAACGACAGTGTTCAAAGAGACACTGAGAATTAACCAAAGTTAATGGGAATGCCACATGATCAGAAAGAAGAAGATCCAAAGAAGCTTAGGCAGGTGATGAAATAAAAAGAAGAGGAAATAATGCTTGTGCAGAATCATGGTAAAGTTTGATATTTCAGAGTACAAAAACAAAGAAAAGATCTTAAACGCAATTGGAGAGAAGACAATTACTAACAAAGAACAGCAAGTTGAATGAAAGTTGACTTCTCTACAGCATTAATGGAAGCCAAAAAACTGAAATTCTGCCTTCAGTATGCTGGGAGAAAGTAGTTATTTCAATAAGTTTGCTACTAATGGACTCTCATTTTTTTTTAAAAAAGAAACCTTTAAAAGATATACTTAAGACAGAATAACATTATAAAAGAAATTATAGTGGAAATTAGGAAGTTTTAGGACCAAATGATAATATCACATGTAAAGTTTTATGAAATTTTAATAAAAAGGTAATTAAAATTTATAACCCTAAATGCTTATATTAGAAAAGAAAAAAAGATAGACAAGCCCAAAGAACATGGGAAAATTAATGAAACAGAAAGCATATATAACAATATGGAGGCTGAATTTTTTTAAGAGTAACATAGCTGATATATGCCAAGCAAGATTAATGAAGGGAAGTAGAATGATGACAGCAAAAGAAATGGAAAAAAGTAATTACACATGCAGAGATTAATATGATCATAAGAAGGGGGTATGAAAGTCATCATGATAATAAATTTGAAAATTTAGACAAAATGAAAACAGTCCAGAAAAATACCATACATCAGAACTGACTTAAGAACTAGAAAGTCTAAATAGTCCTAAAACAGTCAAAGAAATGGAATTATTAACCAAAAATTTCATCCCAGATGACTCTTCTGGCATGTTATTACCTGGTATTCAGAAAAAATGTTTCCAATATTATACAGTGTATTTCAGAGTACAAATAATGAGAATGCTTTCCAGCTGAGCCGATCATAACTGAGGCCATATGAGAAAGGAAAATCATGATAGTCATTGTCATTCATGAATATAGTTGCAAAAATTCCAAATAAAATATTGGCCAACTAAATGTAGGTGATGTTAAAAACCTGAACAATTTGAGATTATCCCAGGTCTGCAGGAATGCTTTAATATTAGAAAATCCATAATGCAATTCACCACATTAACAAATTATAAGAAAAAAATACCATATTCACAATGGGCAGAGTTGCATCTTTGCTTAAAATTTAACATGAAATTACCATGAAAAAAAATCTCAAAATAAGAATAAATAGGAATTTTCATAATATTTTAAAGGATAACCACCATAAACCTATATAGCAAACACTATAATTCATGGTGAACTAGTGAATGTTTCTCTTTGCAATCGAGAGAAGATGAGCATGCCCATTATCACCATTTTAATTTAGCTTAATAGTAGATCTTCTAGGTATATATGTAAGATCAGAAAAATAGTGGTAAAGGTATCAACAAGAGGAAACAAAGCAGATGTTATTATTTGTGATATAATATTTGACCACCCCTGTTGAGGGCCACAGCTGAGTCAGGATGACGCATGGCATTTTTGCCAGAAGTAGTAGTTGAGAGGTGACGCCAGCGAGCCATTAAGATGATGACTTTTGAGTTCTCGCAGAGTTCCTGTTGAGTTCCGGTTGAGCTCTTGCAGGGATTCCTGAAGAGTTCGAGTTGGTTGGAAAAGTTCCAGTAGAGGGAGTTCCGGTTGGTGTGTGGTGTGTTCCTGGAGGAGCCGCATGGGTGGCGTTCGGGAGAGTTCCCGGGGAGTGTGCTGGTGGAGTTTGGAAATAAAGTTTGTTCCTGCTTGAGTGGCTCGTGATTTGTGCCCAGCCAGACTGTGGCACACTCCCAATCCTCTTAGAACTTAATGAGGAAAACAACCAATATCAACTCTTTAAAGATTCAAAATGACCAATGATCACATGCTTGTGATAGTATTTTGTTGCTTGAAACCTAGTAGTAAGAAACTGAGGCAGGGTTCTATTTTAAATGGTCTGAAATTGATTTTTACCTTATCTTTCCTTTATAGTTGGGGCAACTTCTAATGAACCTAATAAATGATGATGTAGGTGATATGATTTTATCTAAAAGTGCATTCAGAAATAGATCTATACATCTTTTTTTAAAGAAAACCATGGCATCTGTCCTGTTAAAAATTAATAGTAAAAAAGGAGCATAATCTGATCTGAATTTGGAATAGATCCTGTTTCTATTAACTCTCAAGGTAGTGAGCAGGGACAGTTGCATGACTTGCCTTGTTTGTTTCCTATCTCTCAGGAATCACCATCTTTGTTACCTAATTTTCTGGTGTTTTGAAATCTCTTTTTGTATATGTTTTGTTCTAGTATCTTGAAAACTGTTGTTTTGTGTGGTTCTCTGTTTTTTGTTATTTCAAATGGGTGAGTAAATCTGTTTTATTTCCATCTTGGCTGGAAGCAGAAGTCAATTTAACTAAATGACTTATCATTTCATGCGTAGCCCTCTTCTGTTAATAAAAGGTTGTTTCAACACATGTATTCCGATGCAATTTTGTGGCCATTCTTTTAGAAGCATGTGTATTTTGCTTATTTACTTGTTTTGTTTTTAAAGTAACTGGTAATTTAAAAGCCCAATCCATGCTAACCTTTAGCGTACAGGCCCTGAGATGGATAATTCCTGAAGGCTTTCAGCATTCTTTTGTACTGTACGCTTTGTTACTATTGGCTGTTCAACCTCTAGTGTTTTGATCTACTGATGTGTTTTATAAATTTTAATGAAAGACAGATTGAGAGAAGTTGTAGGGTCCCACATGGCTGTACTGTATCCATGCTCTGGCTCAGAATGAGCAGCTCTGTAATATTACTCTGTGTTACGTTTGTGGAAAGCACAAAACTCTATCTTCTAACTTGTCTGATTCAGCTAGGTCAAATCAATAGTGATTTTCAGAATTTTCATGTTATTGGTATGTTGGTATTATTTATTATTTAAGGCACAGAAGATTGTCCAAATATTAGTACACATATTATAAATATTTGAATAAACTACATATAATTATAAATACATGGGTTTTTCTAAGGTGTTTGTAAACAATGTAGTTTTTACTTGCCATTATGTGATCCTAAACTTATTTCTTGTGTGTGATTATGGACTTTATTCATAATTCTCTAGTAGGTGTTTACTTTCATTGTTAAGTTATAATTCAGATGTTCTTGGCTTAACTCAAATATTCTCTGTATCTCATAAAATTAAAAACATGCAAGTTTCTTTTAAAACGTCCTTCAAAAGTGGCCAGATTATTTTAGAAACAGATTTAGTTATCCCTGATAATAATGATCAGGGAGAGAAAAGAAATTGAGATCTTTCAAATAAATCAATCAATCACTTCAGTCCATCACTTTTGGCCTCTCCCACTGCAGGAGGATCCAATCACAGGATCACATACAGGGTGGCAGAGTTGCTTTTTTTGGGGGTTCTGGCTCCCTTCCTTTTGACAGCCCATACATTGAGTTAAACAGCAGTAATGGCTGAGATCTAGAGAGAAAAGCCTGTATTATTTGAAACTAAATAATTAACATCAGAATGATGAAGGATTATCCACCTTTCCCATGCAGAGTTCCCAGCTTTTGATCAAAAGGTGTTTTTTTCTTATCATTTTATACTGTCTTAGTCATAAAATGAACCCAAGTATTTACCTAACAGCCTTTGCAAATACTTGTGTTTTGGGTAAGATGGAAATGAAAAAGGGATTAGAAATAACATGTACTCTTTTTTAAAAAAAATTCAGAGGGATTTTAAAAACATGTTAAATACAAATGCCATTGCTATTCCTAGTTCAATACAAGAGGTTTTTGTTTGTCTTCTTTTATGGGGTGGTCTTTAACAATATGTGTTTTTCTTTTCAGCTACTAAATCGGGATTATTGCCTCCACCACCTGCACTCCCACCAAGGCCTTGTCCATCACAGGTAGGAGACAGATTTAATTTCTGTAAAGCATTTCATAGTACACAAATTGTCCTCTCAGTGTGTTTCTTTTCAAGGGTTGATTGCCACAGAACTGGTCTGTCAGATTCCCAGGAAAATAACTAGACGAAGAGAGCAGAGTGGATTAATTTCTTTTCATTCTAGCCAGCCCAGCCTCACGTGGAAAAGGAAAAAATTCCTCAATAAGCCACCAAGCAAACGTGTACTTGTTCATTCTTGGCTATTGAGAGTTGTGTGTGGTTTTCATAGAGAGGAATAGAATGGGTGTCTCTCCAATGGAGGCGGAGGATGTGGTTGCTTTGTATAGTATGTTCAGTCTGGGTGGTTATATTTTCATTAGCATTTTAAGAGTTATGTTTATTCCACATAAACTAAAAATAAATGGTCATCAACACCAGGCTAGTGCTGTGGTTTTGGCCCGTGCAGTGCTTTCTTTAGTATGGTATTTACCTTCAGAACAATAAGCTGAAATGGTAGGAGTGGGAGAATGTGTCAATAAAATCTCTTTCACCTGTAAATTAATCTGCCTTATTTTCATGTGCCACTATGGCTTATTCATCAACACTTTCTGTGGAGTTGAAAGTGAGAAGCAAGAAGCAAATCTATGGAGTGTGGTAGATAGTGCTATAGATCTTTCCTTTTGCTAATTGCTGCTGAAGAGACTTTCTATCTTTAATGACCCTTTCCAACTTTTGGCAGAAAATGTTAGGAAATTTCTCTGCAGACAGTTTCTACTTGGTGCTCTGGGGGGTGGCTCAGAGCATACCTTTTCATGTAGTGCTTCTCAGGACTTGAGTCACTGAAACCACTTTTAACATTTGTTTACTGTTCCTCCAGACAATAAGATGGTCTTGAGCATCCACTGAACCACAAGATGCAAATACCATGATATTGACTTCCTACTTCAGTTTGAAGGGTAATAAAAAGCCCAGTTCTTCTTGACTTGCATACAAACAAGCAAGAACACCTTTTTCAGAATGCAGAACTGGCTTTAAGAGGTACTGATCAGTTAATAAGTAGTTATCAAGTCTGGTCTTTCTCTAATGCCAAATCATAGTTCTACCCTAAGGCTTTCCTTGGCCATAATTTCTCATTCAAAATTATCAACTATGTTAATTGAACATCTACAATAGACCAGGCATTGTACTAACTACTTTCAAAGCATAATTTAATCTTTATAAAATCTTATGAAGTAGTACTAATATCATCCTTTTTTTAACAAATGAGGAAATGGGAGCACATAAGAGTTAAGCAGATCACCAAGGTGGGGTAACTAGTAAATAGTAGAGCCAGTTCCAAACTGAAGTCTTTAGGCCCTTCCTCTCTGTCACTGGAGTCTAAGTGTCTACATCTACAGCAACACAGCAGATCCATTATACTCATAACTGAGGCTTTCACCAATCCTCCATGGAGGACCTAGATGACTTGAGGCTGTTGCTTTGTACCAACAGCAAACTTGGACTGGATCACAACAAAATTAACTGACATTCTGGGAGTACTCATTTACTTGCTGCAGTTTCAAACCTAGACTTGAGGACCCCCTGAATGAATGTGTGGAAGACCTGTCTGAAAACACTTTTGTAATAAACCTCCCTGTTACACAAATGACAACAGTGGCCTGAACTGTGCTACTTTATTGCAAGTCCTCATGTGAGCTGCTTGAAGTGGGCTTCCTGTCTGCTTTATGGGCATGGTGATTGAGGATCTGACAGGGAGACTGGGAATTCTCCAGTTCCTGTTAATGGATAAGTTGCTTCTTTGTCTACCAGATTGTCCAGCACAGTGTAAACACTGAGCTCAGCACTCAACCCAGGTCTCCAGCTCAGGTGCCTAACTGTGGAGAACAGGTGTGTAAGCAATGGAGGCAGAAAAATCTCTAGGCCATTTCCTTTCTGCCATTGCCCCCTTTCATCCACTGTAAGTGGGATACATATTCAGTATACAAAGTCCTGGGTAATAAGCACATGGTTGTATTTAGTCTTCTTGCCATGTCAAATTCCTAATATTGACCCTAGGAGGATCTCAGTCACCACCTGTATGGAATGCCATAGTCTTTCCCAAATTTCTTGTGATGAAACAGTCTCTGGAAGATATTAGTAGAGTTCTGTGGTAAGAAAAATTTGCAGGCTGCTCCCTCTATACTCCCTTTGGGAGATTCCTAATGTATGTGAACCCACTAAAGGTTTTGAAGTCCTATGGCAAAAACAAACAACAACAAAACCAACAAAAAACCTGTTCAATTTTGTTAAAGCAATTTTGTAGCTTGTGTGGCCATTCATCATTATATTTATAAAATACCTACCACTATCCTGAGGGCTTAGAGGCTAGGAAACATTACTAGAACACCAGGCTTAAGGTGTTGCTAAGAGCATTTCCACATTGTTCTCATCTGTCACCTCATTTCTGTATTGTGTGATTAAAGTTAAGTTTTATATGTTATACCAACAGACTTCTCTAGAAGATTTAAAAATTAAAGTTCACTGCACATTAGCTTGAGATTTCCAATTTTCCAGGTTTTCAGTTTGTTCCCTTTCTTTCATTGTTTTTCAATTCCTTCTTGCTTACTCTCTCATGAGGTCATTTTGCTGTCTCACAGCAAATTTTATTATAGAGAACTTAAACACTCTGAATTCTTCCTTTGCTTTGTAAAATATTTTGAATATCTGCTATATCATCAACCTAACTTGAAAATATATCTATATCTACAGAGACATTTTCATGGGGGCTTAGACTGTAGTACCATAACCTGGAGACCTGGGGAGAAACTAGGAAGCATGGTAAAACTAAAATCATTACATTTATTAGTAGCTGTGGAAGAGGTTAAACTAAAGTTTCTGTATTATTTGTAGGATTTAGATATTCCCTATTATATAACTTGATAAATGGGTGAGACTAGTTTGTAATAATGAAAAAAATGTTCTGTTTCCTGCAGAGGAACACTATTTTAAAAGCTTTGTGACGAATCAGTTGTGATATACTTCCAGGTTCCGAGTATGTTACATACTCATTTGAGTTTGTACATTTGCATATATATATCTACATGTAACAGAAACATATCTACTTTTATCAAGTGAGAGAGATGAGGCATAGGTTTTCAGCATAAAATGCAGTTTAGGTGGATTCTACTTATACCAAGCACCACTGTGATATGAACATCTGGATTAAGTTATACAAATGGGGCCCCAGAGTTAGGGAAAGGGATAAATTCAAAGAAACAGATCTTTTATTTTTCATACTATTAGGTAAGAGCAAGAAGGACCAAGTGAATAAAGAATCAAGCATTTTTTTGTTCCACATTTTCCTTTGGAAAGACTGGAAACCAGAGCATGGTCTTTTGGCTCAGTTCAGAAGTGTTTTTTTTTTTTTTAAGACCAATTCATAGCATAAAAAACAGAAAGCAATTAGAGCAGACTGTTTCATATGGAGCAGCGTTAAAGTGAGTGTTAGTTGAACTTATTAGCTTGCTGTTTCTGCATAAAGTAAAATGCCATCTACAGAGTTTGTGCTTGTCCTGTAGGTCAGTTCTCTGCTAAGGGACTATTTAGTACTTCCATAGCTAAATCCCTTTAATAGCATTGATCTCATGCCAAATTTCTTATGGCAATTGTGATAGAACCATGGCTTCAGTGTAATTATGTTTAATAAAGAAAAGATTTGGGGGATACAAAGTATTAACTTTTAAGTTTTACATTGGCACCACATCTGATAAATTAGGGCTTCCTCTAGACTAATGTGCTTAGAATTTTCCTATTTATGCCACTAGTTTCTTATCTTAACATAGCAAGTGCTCCCCACTAGCAATGTTATGAGTACTAAGATAACAGGCACGGTGGAAGAAACATCTTATTAATACTGTTACACTTAGATCAAGAAGGCTCATGGGATGGGTGGGGTGATCACTGAAATGACTTTTAAAGAAACAAGAGCCTCTTTATTTTTAGATGGCTGAGGGATACAGAGACTTCCTGTAGGGGAAGAAAATCAAATGCATAGAAACAGATATGCATGAGGTCCTGGTATGTTTGAGGAACTACCAGAGATTTGGAAAGCCAGATTTGAGGGAAGATTGAATGTTCTGAAGGTGGCAGTGAAGAGCAGGCCACCTCCTCATCTCCAGTCCCAGTGGTGCCAGAACTGTGGGAAAGAAATAGTCCCCCAATAAGAAAGTTCTCTATGGGAAGCAGCTGCCGAAGAGACAGTAGAAGTTTAGTTAGCCTGGCTGTTTTCACCCTTGGCTACATAGTAGCGTCATCTGGGGGAGCTTTAAACCTGCTGAGGCCCAGAAATTTTGGAATGAGGTGGTAAGTCCCAGTCATTGGGTGTTTAAATTTTTTTCATGTGATTCTAAAGTGCAGCCAGAATTGAGAAGTACTCAATTAGAGCAAGAGGAAAGAATGTTCAGAGAAAAGATCTAGAGGGGATTTTGGTGATATCATTCCATAAGTTCTAGTGGAAGAGGAGAGGGAAGTAGGAGTTCAGCTTAGGGGATGTACCTAAACCCTGTGGGGACAAGAACCCAGATCACGAGAAATGGCCTGTAAACCACAGGCTTCTTGTGATGACTGATGTGAATATGGTGAGAAAGTGTAATGATAGCAAGGTCCTGCTGGAAGGACTAGTCACTGTGTGCCACTGGTCATGTGTGTACTGTCATGAAAGATGAGCCAGGAACACAAATGGCCTTGAAAGGAAACTAGAGCCACCATGGTTCACTCAGCTCATTTCACATCTAACTTTTCTATCTGGCTAGAATCAGAGCTGAAGGTCATGCTGAACCCAGTAGGTATATGCTGGGCATGCTGCTCTTTTTCAAAGCCAAACTTCTTAGACACAACTTTTTATTACATGCTAACTTTGTTATATTTGGAAGGAATGATCATATCTTACTTAAACTCAAATGGCAGTTGTTAGGCTCTGAACTTCTAAAATACTTGCAAGATGTGGTAGTACACATTTGTGATCCCAGCCACTTAGGAGGCTGA